CCCCCCCCCCAGCTACTGCTTCTTTAGGGCTTTTTTGTGTGACATTTTCTTAATCAATAAAAAGCTAAGAAAACTTTGAAATATGTGTTTCCACTTATACTGCACTTCCTGGAGACCACCAGAGCCCCTTTTGAGACTCTTGTAATAATGTCGAAGAAAGATAATGGGATATGGTTTAGTGGTGGACAGATACGGTTGGACTGGATGATCTCTAAGGTCTTTTCCAACCTAGTGATTCTATGATTCTATGATCTTAACATAGCCATAAAAGCAGGCATTCGAATCCCAACCTAGCAGTGAGGAGATGCATTTGTTCTTTGTGTCCATATAGACCTAGTTCATTCTGAAGTGATTAAACATTTCAGATCTGAAAGCAACTTTGAGAAACTCTAGATTGAGTGTTTTTTGGGGAGTGCTTTCCATTAGCATTCAGGTGAACCAAAGATAAACCATTAAATTAATCTTTTAGTATCTTCAGTTAAAATCTGTTATAAACTTCAAACTTAGTTAACTGAACGACTGCTGTGCTTTTTTGATCTATGGAGGCTGGGAGAGCTTTGTGTATTCACATATAACACATGTATATACTGGTAAGATATACTGCCAGCAGCACTTACCTGTACACCATTATTGTAAGTTCTCTAGTGTATTTCTTTAATGGTTTTAAGACCTGAGCTATAGCTCAGTGAAGTCATTAGGAGACTTGTATTGATTTTTGGTTGCTCCCTCCCCTCCCCTGACTCTAGGTTAAGCCTGTTATTTGATAGAGTTCCTAAAAGGAATAACTTCAACTGAAGTGCATTTTTAGCTGAAATTTTGGTTATGCTTATAATAAAAATTTTTTTAAAAAAGTATCTTTTTGGAATGAGCTATTTGAGATTTGGTTTTTGTGGAAAATGAGAGAATATGATTTCTCAGGTTAACAGTTTTCATGTATTAATCGAACAGTGATTCAAAATATAAAAATACCTTAATATGATTTAGAAAAGAAGATACTTTTCTGTCTGATGCCTACACTTCCATTGTATGCTACCACTTTTTGTTGCTTCTTCATTTCCACTTCTCTTAGACAGATATCCCACATAATAAAAAAGAATGGAAACCCATTTATTGTCTATCATTTAGGAAATTTACATAGCCATGCACGTATCTCTCTTCACCCCAAAGTACTGATGAGTGAAGGGGAATTGGCTACAATCATGTGTTCTGCTGGCCTTCTCATGGCAATGGGCCAAATGGACTAGACAGTTCATACCTTAATCTTTCTGATCCAGCTGTGTGCAGCCACTGCATAATCTCCTTTGGTAGGCAGGAACAGAAGAAAAACAAGTGGCTGTAAGCTGAAGTCAGAAAAATTCAAAGTAGAATTTGCGTACCACATACTAAATGTTCGGGATAATTACACACAGTATAGCTTACTGAAAAAAAGGGGATACTGAAATCTCTAAGCAATGGCAGATGCTCTTCAAGATGTGCTTTAGTTGAACACAAATTTTGGGGCTCAGTACAGGGTTAAATAAACAGCTTTTAATGGCCATGTTACATAGGATATCAAACTTCTTCAGTGTTCACTTTCAACTGTCAGCTTCAGAAAAGACTGTTTTGGACTTCTCACTATGCAAAACTGCTTTCAGTTCATAACCACATTTATACTCACTTTGCAACACAGCCTCTATATTTTTCATCTTTACTACTTTTGTACGCTTTGTTCTAGTGTTTCTCACTATGGTGGTCTCACTAGGTTTTTGAGATACTCCTCTCTCTGTCCTTTTGTCTTTTTTTTTGGTGCCTCTCAACTTTGTTTTAAGGATTCTCGGAAACTCTTTGATTCATTGCTCTTCTCCATTCACATCTAGCTACTAGATAATCCTCTTAGTTCATTCAATGTTATGCAAGATTTCTTGTAAATTCATGCTTTGGGGTTTTTTTGTTGTTCTCTTCTGCGTAACTGTCACCTCAACTCAATCCCCAGATCTCAGAATCTGTTAATAAGTATTCATATTGATCAGTTTGTCTCCATCTATCTATTTTTTTGCTATCTTACTCCCAGCAAAAGCTGACAGGGTCAAACCAGATCTCTTGATCTTGTTTTTCAAACGTCATTCTACTTCCTCCTGGGTTCACTGTTGACGATGCATTTCCCCCCACCAGCCCTACACTTGTAGTAATGGCCAAATTCTGCTAAAAGCTGTGGGCCTGCTCTCTCATGCCCTTGCTGCTGACTCTGCGCTGAGTCAGTTGAGGATGCAGAATCAGCAGGAAACCATGCATGATTTTTTTTCTCATCGCATTCATTTTTGACCTAGTTAGCTTTCTGAATCAGATGGCAGCGCCACCACGCAAGCAGCAGGGCCAATGCAGTACAGCAGTTAGATCAAATTATCTGTACCATTATACTGCATCCCAACAACATTTTCCTAAAGGCTTAGCCTCCTCTTCCTGTTTTTCACACCCGTGCCAGATTCAAACCCTGAACTACTTGTTCCTTAATTGTTTCTGGAATCCATTTATTTCCTTTGTGTCATTACTTCCAAGCTCTTTGTTTGGACTCATTCTCAGCTTCAGTAACTGGAACAGCTTCTGGCTTTTCAGATCCCCCATTCTTCTCTGAAAGCCATGCAAACAAAAATGCAGCCAAGGCCTTTCCCATGTTCTTGATGGATGTCAGCCTCCTTTTCTGAGTACCTGAGGCTCTACCGCTATATTCAGCATCAGCCGTGACAACACCTCGAAAGCTCTGTCCTTCAGTGTGCTTCACAGCATGTTCCTTCTTTCATGACTAGTATTCCCTGAAACCACCTGCCGCCTTCTAGCGTCTCAGCGATCACCCACAGTGCTTCTCAGTCACCTTTTAGGTATAACAAAGTCTGCTCAGGCTACTCTACAGATCTTTTAACTACCTGCTCTAGACACCTCTCTTTTCAAACAATTTGCTCCTGCTGTTTATCAGTGCTTACACAACTTCAGTACAAGCTGTCTACTGTCATCTTCTTCAACTTCTATCTTTTTGCTTAATGGGGTTTTTTGGGTTTTTTTAAGTGAGATCTCTTTTAGGGCAAGGAGTCCTCCTTTCTTGAAAATTGAGAAGCACTCATGATGTTACAGTCACTCCTGTAGATAAATATTTAATGAATGATATTGAAATGGAGATCTATGTAGAAGCTAAATAGCAATCCACTGCAGCTTGGCACCACTTCAGTACACGCTGTACAGCAGTCAAACACAATGCAGTTATCACCTACACGTGGCAACATCATCACTACTTGTCTTCTGGTTTTTTGTTCCCTGTTTGTTGTTTTTTTGGTTTTTTGTTTTGGTCCCAGCTGGAAGATGATATTATAGCCAAATCTGATTATATTCAAAGTATAAAAAACTTTGCTGCTAAACAGCCCCAAGAGTGGATGATTCTGGAGTTCTCCCAGCTTGGATTTATTGGTAAGTATTAAGACCTCAGCAGGGTCACTTGAATTTGGAGCTGAGTAGGGTCGAGTAGGTCTCACTGGGAATTGCCTTTCAAGGCATGGAAGGAATCACATATTAAAACTTCCTTGGTTCTTCAGGAAAGCTCCCACTGAAAGTCTTTTACTTTCTGTGCTCTTTAAAACTGTCTTTTTAATGCAGTCTCCTCAGCATAGAATCTAGTAGTTGGGTCAAATTGCTCCACCTCGGGGCACTATGCGCCCCTATGGTGTGTACTCTTCTTTTCAAGAATGGAATTGAAAAAATCTGTACAAAATCTACTTCCTTTCCTTTGTGGAGCCGAACATGCATCCCATGTCATAGGGAAGGTTCTTATATTATTTTTAGTAGTAAGTGTCTTTTTATATTTTTTCTTTGGCTCTAATGCAATTTACTTCTGATAATTCCTTATTAGAAGTGTTAGGTCAACAAGATCTGACAAAGTCTGCTGATACAAATAGCAAGAGAACTAAACAAACAGTGATGGTATTTTAAAAGCAACATTTTTCATATCTAGGCCTTAATTTAAAGGTGTTCAATATCGTATCACCAGTGAAACTGCATGTCTATCATTTTGAGGAATTATTCAGACTTTGTTTCATCTGATACACAGGTACAGGTAACTGGCAGATTTGTGTCTGGAATTAGGATATAACTGCATGCTTTATTAGCCAACTGGCTGACTGTGTGAGAGTATCTCCAGGCATGGGATGGGAATCTCTTCAAAATCCTAACAAGCTGGAGGATGAGCAAATCTCCAAAGCTGGAGTCTGTGTGAAACTTCCACTAAATATCAGAATTACATCCATGTGTTTGAGGTTGGAGTAAACATAAAGATGGAGATTTTTGCACAGCAAAGAAAATATCTGAATATGCAACTTTTTGACTTGCTTTCAGGAAAATTGTTTAAAACGGAAGACCTGCCACTCATAGTGGATTTTTTTCTGATGTTCCATAAAGATAAGCCCGTAGACTGGCTTATAGACCACCTGCTCTGGGTTAAAGTGTGCAACCCAGAAAAGGATGCAGTAAGTATGTCTATGAATTTATGAACATGAGTAATATTCAAACAGTCTCAGTGACAAAAAGTGGAGTAGAAATCTCTCAAACCTGACTTCCTTGGGGATTTGTGGGGAAGGATCTGCTGCAGATCTGCACAGAGTGGCATGGTGTTTGAGCCCATTAGGGCATATGGAAAAGCCCGACTTACAGAAATTCAGGTTTCCACACCAGACCTGTGTTGCTTCCGTTAGCTCAGAACATGGAGAGCACAAGCTCACATCTGCCTGCAGCTGGTCACATAGGGCAGCCCTGCAGCACCAAAGACAATTTTGAATATGTAAACATATGTGGACTATCGCTTCTTGTAACATTCTGCTGACCTTCTAATATGAAAGTCAGTAAAGCATACAATTTTACGATCACAGTGGTTCTAAATTTTGTATACCCATTCCTTTCTGTCAGGAAGCAGAACCTAAGTGTTTTGCTTTAAATCTTATACTACCTGGGAAAAAAAAAATTGATGGTTACCTGGAAAACAAAAATGCAGGGAAACATGTAGATCAAACAAAATAAATGATACTTTTCACTGAAAATGAAAGCTGTGTTGAATTGCAAAAGGTGCCATTTCTAGTATTACAGGTGAGCCCAATGATATGTTAAGCATTTCTTTATGTCCTTTTGCATTCTTTCTCTCATAAGGCCTTGGTGCTGGTCACTACTCACGCTCTTGTATAACAGTCTGTGCCACAGAGGGCTGGCCAGAGTTTCTGCCCTTTCTTCGTTTTTAAGGTGGAAGAGTTTTATTTGATTAGTGTAGCCAGGTCCCATTCCAGGTGTTTGCACATGGTACTTCTGTGTTGCTAAAGAAGGAAGAAGAGACAGGTAGGAGTTGTGCAGAGCAGGAGATTGAGGGGAGCAGAACAAAAAAGCTTCAAGCTTTATTGTGTAGCAGAGGTGACTCCTGTGGATAGCAGAAGGTCCCTGGTTTTACACTTAGTAATACTACAGAGGAGTCTGGATTCCTACTTCATACAGCTAGGGGTAAGCTTCGAAATCCTACTGCATGGGTTAGGCTGGCTCATAGGAGTTAGTGTGAGCCTCGAGTACCTCTAATTTAGGTTCTTGCCTGCCTTTGGTAACAGAATAAAAAAAGGAGACTATTTTGTTAACATCACCCATTTCAGATCTGTCTAACATGTGCCAGCTTCCATTCGACAGATGAAATTGTTTACTTTGATTTTTAAAATGACGGCTGTAAGCTGTGAAGACCTGATTCATACCTCAATCAAAGCTGTGTTCCTCAAAGGCAGGCAGGCAGCTCATGCGAGTCTGCTCTGGCCGAGGCAAAGCAGAGCGATAGCACCAGGTTTCTAGTGAGTTTCACTTCTGCATTTGCAATTTCAATTGCTGTGGGGAGCAAAAAACTATTCAGACAAGTCAGTCTCACGCTACCCTTGGGTCGGAATGACTGGTGGCATGAATGACCAGGGCCTGTTCCTGAGCATGCAGAAAATGGGGGTGGGAAGAAGGACAGAGATCCCGGATGCTGTTCTTCTGCTTGACAGATTAAAGCAGTGGACTTTCCTACAGGCACCAGAGAAGGGAAGCTGAGAGAAATCCTCATGCTTTCCCATTTCCAAGCATCCAAGAGTGTCACTAAGTGACCACACACTGTCCCTCATGGGAACGTCAACAGGGCACCTGTACATGGCTTTTAGGTGCCACCCTGTGGTGCTGGGTGTTTGGCACATCTTTTCAGCCTGTGCTGAATATTAACATACCAAGGTTCCGCTACATCTGCTCACCACGTTGGAAAAGACTGTGATGATCAGAGCCATCACATCTCTGTGTGGTTCAGAAACTTGTGTGTACCTCATGTGAACTATCATCCAGTTCTGGGGTCCGCAGAACCAAAAAAACGTGGATGTGTTGGAGCGAGTCCAGAGGAGGCCACGAAGATGCTCAGAGGGCTGGAGCACCTCTGCTATGGGGACAGGCTGAGAGAGTTGGGCTTGTTCAGCCTGGCGAAGAGAAGGCTCTGGGGAGACCTTATTGCAGCCTTCCAGTACCTGAAGGGGCTACAAGGAAGCTGGGGGGGACTTTTTACAAGGGGCTGTAGTGACAGGACAAGGGGTAACGGGTTTAAACTGAAAGTGGGGAGGTTTAGATTAGATATCAGGAAGAAATTCTTCACGGAAAGGGTGGTGAGGCACTGGAACAGGTTGCCCAGAGAAGCTGTGGATGCCCCATCCCTGGAAATGTTCAAGGCCAGGCTGGATGAAGCTTTGAGCAACCTGGTCTAGTGGAAGGTGTCCCTGCCCATGGCAGGGGGGTTGGAACTAGATGATCTTTAAGGTCCCTTCCAACCCAAACCATTCTGTGGTTCTGTTATCGTACACAGTGGCATGTACCTATCAAGTGTAGGTTGGACTAGCAGGCTGCAAAGATGACAGCCCTGACGCAATGAGGAGCCTTATCTTAGTTTCTGCATATATGACCACACCAGTCCTGTGCTACTGATTATTCTGAGCTCTTACCATAAGTACCTCTTGGTAGTGCTGCCATAGTATAAAAGGAGACATGCTAGAAACTACATTATTATAGGGGGTGAACTGCAAACCCCGTCAGTAGAAAGATCACAAATTTATTTTCTTACAATGATTTTTTTTTTCCTATCAAAAGTATAGTGTGCTTATCAAAGAAACAGCTGCCAATAATTCAGTTTGCGAGTATTGTGTCTTTACATTGTATTGCTGAACATCTGCCGTGGACAAACAAAAAAATTCTTTTTATAACCTTCCAGGTGGTTTAGAACTTTTAACTAATGCTTCTGTGGAAACCATAAATCCCCCATGAGTTTTGGTGTTTAAGCCAGCTGAGTGAATCAGTGCTTTAGAAGGCATTGGTATAGCTTATGGAACATATTGTTCTTTTATATAACTGAAAGCACTTGATTGAAGAGGCAAACACATTATCCTCTCAAATCTAAAGATGTGAGACCAGGGATCCAGAGAAGTTAAATCATTTTCCAAACTCATTCAATAAATCTGTGGCAGAACTGATAGCAGAACCCAAGGAGTCTCATTTTAGCTCTTTGATCTGATCTATGCCATTATGCTTCATTATGTCTCGTTAATTATTATAGGTGTTTGCTTCGTTGTATCAAACTGTGATGCTCTATAGATACAGAGCAAAAATTACATTTAACGAAGTAATTTGCTATAATTAAAAAAAACCAAAAGACACTCAGAATTTAGTATCAACAATACTTCATTCACTGATATATGTCAGGTCACAAAGTGTACTAAACTGGGAAATCAGGGTTGAAATACAGTATCTTAAGGTTTTATATAATTATAAGATAAAAGATACATAACTTATACTGTAATATAGTACCCTCTAAGCCTCTGAAACATAGCAGAAAGAGACGACGTGATAAAGATTGGAAGGTAACCAGAATCTATCTCAGGAAGGTCAGTTTTGGTCAAAATAGTTCAGTTAGAATAATATGGCGAGGGCAAGAGTTGAAATGAAATTTGCCAGAAACAGTTTCAGATTTGAGGTCCATTTTTGTCACTCTGAGGTGTGACTGATGGTATACAGTGCAGAAATCCCAGAATTAGTGGTGGTTGAGCCTTCAAATCTGCGTAGCACCATGAGTGGAATTACTAGACTAGGACTAGAAACAGTGTATTTGAAATAAGGTGACTGTTAATCTAAGGATTTCTCATTTAAACAGTGTTAAAAAACCTGGACCCACACTCTCAACTACATAATGAAATTGCCTTATGGAACTTAGTTTGTCTCTCCTTTATTTAAATAAAACTTCACTCCCTTTTCCTTTCTTTCCAGATACACTGTGAAAAGGAAAAGGCAAAGTTACGTATCAGTGCTAAACCATCTCTCTTTCAGCATGTGGGAATTTATTCATCCTTGGCTGGAAAGATACAGAATTTGAAAGTAAGGACAAGAAATCAATGCCGTATTTCTAAATTACATGCTCGTGTTCTGGTTTGTTTCTCAATTGGTGTCAAGCATTGCACCTTTGGTGTTAGATGGCATTTCCATACCCAAGAATGTTGGTTAACAGATTTGGGAGAGAATATTGATCTGGCACCTAAACTGCAGGTGGGGCACCCTGTGTCTGCACAAACATCCTTGAGTCTCTAACCTGAGCACTTGTACCAGTCATAGTAGCATTTCATGGCATGTAGGAACCCTCTTCACAGCCCGAGGTTTCGTGTGCTCTGCGCCGTACAAACACAAACAGCTATGATGGTTTACTTTGGCTGAATAATCCACAGTATCAATACTGAGGCTGACACGAAAGTAATTATTTTCTGGAATAGCTTCCTGTAGTAATTCAGGATATTGGAGCACTTGTTTTTTTGTTGTGTGACTGAAATTACATTTCTTCATATCCAACAGGATAAAGATTTTGGCAAAATTGTGCTACATAAAGCACATAATAATCCACCTGCAGAAGTGGATACAAGCCTAAGAATATACCAGCAATATACCCTGGAAAAAGTTTATGAAGGAAAAGACTGTTTTTGGGCTTCAGCTCCAATGGCAGGAGACTACATCAGCTTCACCTTTTTAAATCCACTAAAAGTTGAAAAGTAAGTATTACGTTATAGGGAATGTGGAAGCCTACATATATCCAGTGATTGAGTCTGTTCAAAATCACCAGTGCTCAAATGTTTGCATAAACCACAGCCTTGTTACTGAAAAAAAATCCACAATTCGCTATTTGCCCGCTCTCCTTTTGGAATTCCCCTCCTAAAATGCGTTTCTTCCTTGGTAATGAGAGCGCTTCTTAATTTTTTTTCCTTCTATTTTTTTTCAGTTAAATATTTCACATTGTCTTATGACAACTCTCAAAGGAATTTGTTTTCAACTAATGAATTCCATCAGTGGAGTCAGTGAAAGCTTTACGTCTGTAGTTGTCAATAGAAAGGCTGTTTGCATGATGCAAAGCCCATGGCCGTGTCCCAGACCAGACACTTATCAGTGTAGGTGAAAGAGAAAATGTCACTATTGTGGGGAAAGAATGAAGAGTGAATTAACCCAGGTGGGATTCAGTTGAAGCATCAGAGACTGGAATGTAGGTGTTTACAGATGTCTAGGTAAGGTAGGTGTGTAAGCTCCTGCTACACATAAGAGGTCTGCTTGACACAGTCAGTGGAAGCTAGACAGGTACCCATCTCATTCTCTCTTTGGTCACCCCAGTCAGTTGCTACGTTTTGTTGACTATTGAGTGTATCTCCATGGCCTGTAAGGAGAACTTGAGCACTTGGGTCACAGCCAGGCTTCTGACTTCAAGTGGTTGGATCTACAGCCAAGTCCCACCTTGGATGTTCTCCTCATTCTAAAAGATGAAACTCTCTCCTCTGTGTTCACATCATTCAACTTGGGTGTCTCTGGAAGGAAGACACACCTGTAGCTTAATGTAGGGAATGGTTTTTCAGAAGGCCTTACTCTATGAGCAGTACAAATGGAAGTTGGTGCCAGAGAAGCAGTCCTGCCTGGTTCAGCTGAGTTTCTTCTTCTCTTTCTGTCAGATTGGAGAACACATCTGAGTTAAAACTAGCCTAGCAAGGAATACGGATCTAGGAGGGTGCCTCTGACACAAGTTACCATATCTACCGTATCTCAGTAATGATATTCAGAGAGAAAACTCCTTCACTGTCATTATGCTTCCTCACAAAACTGGTCACAGAACTAAGAGACTTCCATTTCTGCAAAGATTATAGGTTTCTTATTTATTTTTAAAAAAATCTAAGAGAGGAAGTCCTATCTCCAGCTAGTGAACTGCACTAAATGAAAATTGTTACAATGAACACTGGTGCTCTGTGTTCAACACTGTTAGTCGTTTATGCTTTGGGAATCTCGGGTAGCCTATAGTTTTGCATTTTCCTGTTACTGGGAAGCTGTACTGGATGAAGCTAACTTACATATGGTATTGTCTAATGGCTGGTCCCAGCCCCATCACCCTGCTAACCTGTGAAAATGTATACTTCATCCTATATTTGGTAATCTTCTTAGGTCTTGATTGTTTGATACCAGAGGAGCAGAGGAGAGAGGTTGATGCTTTGGATTTCCTTAGCTCTTTTTGGATCTAAAACCCTAGGAACTCTAATGCCAGAAATTTTGAACCAAGCAGGGATTTTTTTTTAGGTTTTTTTGGGGGGGGGGGTTGTTTGTTTTGGCTTTTTTTTTTGGGGTGGTTTTGCTTGGATTTTTGCTTTGACAGTGCTGTTGCTCATTGGCTATAAAGGAGATTACCTAGAAGCACCTGAACAGATCAGTATTGATATAAAAGGAGATTCTCAGCATGTAGCATATGGTCTAGTAGAATCAGGGATTTTTGCTGACATTACATTTCAGAAGCCCATCTCACCTCAGCCTTCGGGTGATAGGAACAGATCAGAGGACAGATCTTCCTTAACCAATTGAACCTGGAAAGTTATTTTATTTGAAACTCGAGCACTGAAAAGGGGGAAAAGGAGAAAGGTGGTTCCAGAGAAAGATGGTTTTAGTGCTTGTTCTGTTTAAAATGAAAAGCATCTAGTATGGCTGGTCACACATTAGAAAGTTTCAGAAAGTACCTATTTCTGTTCTATGTAGCCCACAACTCATTAAAGGTATTTGAAACTTTACTTTAAAACTAGAAAGAATTATTTCCCTAGAACTTTTCTAAAGTATAGAATACCTGGAAATAATATACCTTTATCATCAGGTACTTCTTCAGAAGTGGAAACATGGAGCACCCTGGTGATAAGCTGTTTAACACTACCGTGGAAGTGTTGCCAGCTGATGTGAGTCTCATTTACAACTGTAATACACAGTGTTATTTCGTTTTAAGGATGATGTTCAGCATGAAATGTTATGCCCTGAAAATATTTCTGGAGAATTTATTTTTTTATTTTTTACAGGAAATGATAAGAAAAGAACTGGTTGACAATGGAAGTAAATTTAACTACCCAGCAACCAAAGACGGATATTTAAAAATAGGTAAACGGTTTATTGTTACTTCAAAACCAGAAATGTTGTTCTTACATATAAAATGTTTCTGCATTTGAGAATTTCATTAACTCTGTCATAAACACAACATTCTAAGGTGAACTAGTAAGGAAAAGAAACCCTTTGCGCTGCTGCATATTACAGTGTATGATGTTTCAAGGCCAGGCTGGATGAGGCTTTGAGCAACCTGGTCTAGTGGAAGGTGTCCCTGCCCATGGCAGGGGGATTGGAACTAGATGGTCTTTAAGGTCCCTTCCAACCCAAACCATTCTATGATTCTATGATTCCTAATGTATCTTTTTAAAAATGACCATACTTCTCAGGAAAGCTCTTTTAGATTATTTAACATGACCATGTGTGCAATATGTATATAGTCACTACTAATGTATTTAAATTTATTTTTTAACATTTGTAGCTATAGGTTCTTTATTTTCTTCTATTCTTCTCCAGGTCCTAGTTACTGTAACTGAAGGAATGAATCTTACTTCTTGTTCATAGCTTTATCCTTCAGTTGTTACTGTGTGATCTTTTCCAAAAGATTTTATTTGCCCCTAATATTGTATCCCTGGAGTTAATTTATAATTTGTAATTTGGAGCTTTTGCATAAGTTCACTTGGAAGCGTATTTCATTGTAATACATGTTTGGACATGTCTTGTTTCATTTTTTTATTTAGGGACTTTTGAAAATGGAATTGCAGAAGGCAGTATCAATCAGTCAATAGGAAAAATACAGGCTATTCGTTTATCAGTCAATTCTGATTCTCCTGTATGGGCAATACTCAGTGAGGTAAGCATTTAAATTAAAGCTTTAATAAATTAGTTTCAGTTCTTCCTACCACATAGTATTGATAATCATTATTTTTTTATTTATTTTGAATGGGATTTTGAGTGGAAAACTCACACAAGTGGACAATTATATTAATTATTCAGGGGAGAAGTTGAATTTACTTCATAGAAAAAGTGCTAGAAATGCTCAAATGGAATGATTCTCCAGTTTTGCAGTGCTCTAAGTATAGCCACTAGAATTCATGTCATGATAAACAAACCAACCAGAGGAGACAGGTGGCTTTTCTAGCTTTTTTCAGTCATTTTCTTGGACATGAATTATAATATGCAAACATTATCAGATGAACATGTGATTTTTTTTTTTTATTCTTAAAGTTCCAAGTGTCTGAACGTGTGTGAACCTGTAAGTAGAAAATATTCAGTGAAAGTCACTGAGGAGAATTAGTACAGCCATAACTGGAAGGAGGGAAAAGCTAATGTCTCAGGCAGTGCTTCTGCTGATTTTAGATAATAACAGATCTTGTTTTTTTCAGGTACTTATCAAGACATCTGAAAACTGAAAAAAGAAAGCCCCAAACATTCTTGATGTGTCGCTTGTTGCAGATTGTTTGAAAACTAGGCTAACAGCAACAAAAAACTGGCTGGGTAAAAGAACAAATCCAAACCCATGTAATTCTTAATACTATGTATTAGGAAAAAGTTGAGATAATTATTAAATCTTTATATGAAGAATATTAAAGGCTATAAAGAACCAGATTATGTTAGTAATTTCTATAAAATGCTCTTGAGTAAGGTGTCATGTATAAAAATCTCGCCTTAGCTTGGCACCGTTCAGTATATATTACGGTGAAGAGCTGATAAGGTGTTACGGGCTGTCTCGGGGACTAAAGCACAAATGTGCACTAAGTTTCAGCAGAACTAACAATGTGGACATTTTTGAAAAATATTAAGGACACAGTTTTCAACTCCACTAAGAACACTGGTCAGTTTCGGAGGGAAAATAGAGCTGAAGGAAAAGTTGTCAATATTCATTGCAAGTATTTAGAGAGAGGGACAATTTAACAATGTGGAAATGGATCTCAGACTTAACAGAAGTGTGTTTCAGCCTCAATGTAGCATAAGTTACGTTTCATATTTTTTTAAATGGGAAGTGCCTACAAGTTATTATTTGAATAACTTAAACAGGTATTGTTTGGAGGATTGTAAAACTTTTCAGTGAATTTTGCATTTAATTAATTACAGGAATTAATAAGAGTGATATGTGTAACTATTTTTGTAGGAAGAAAATCTATTTAAATAAAATTTTGGATCCTATAATTTGATAATCAGTATGTATTGATACTTAAATCCTGGTCACAAGGCAAAACTCAATATAAATTTGAAAATAAAAGGTAAACCACAGTAGTCTCACTTGAAACGTTTTTTGGAAATGGCAATCCACCTCGGACAGCTACACGTTAATGTGCAGGATTCCTGTATTTCTTCCTTAGCACTTCAGGCATGGCTGTGCTCTCATTCTCCTGCATGTGCATTGCATCCCGACAGCAGAGAGTGAGAAGTAAGCTGCACTGTACACTTTTTGCATGGATTTGTATTAAATGGGTTAAATTAATGTAGAATTGTACTCTTCATGCAAGAGCATTTTTATTTCAAATAAGATTAATTTTCTTGCATTAAAACAGTTCAGAAGGGTGTTTTTTAAAGACCACCTCTAATAATATTTTGATTATTTACAGTATTGTTTATATACTGTGGTGCTGTATATATGTGCATGTGGGTACATACATACGTACATGTGTATGCGTTTATTTCTTGGAGCCAGCATTGCAGCCTTTGTTAGGTTAAGAGTTTAGTGCAGGTTAAGAATTAATGCAGTAATCCAGAGTGCTTAGAGATACACAGAGGGACATCTATATCCATCAGCACTTCCAGTAAAAATGAGGGTTGAGTGAAACCAACACCGGTGGATTGTTAAGAAGGGGCGGCTAAAACTGCAGCTGGGGAAAAGAAGTGGAGGGGCTCTGCATCCAGCTACCTGGCACAGGAAGGTCAGAGTCGCCTCCCTCTGACCCTGCTCAGAATCAGATCATCTTCCTCTCTGCTGATGCAGAGACATCTAGTCACGAAAACATGCAGTGGGGAATAAAACACAACTTGGATTAAGCACAGGGAATGTCGTGGTTTAGGCCCACTCTGGAACACAAGCCCACGCGGCCACTTGCTTGCTCCTCCCCGGCGGAATGGATTAAAAATCAATTTAATGAGTTACCAATCAAATCAGAGTAGGACGATGAGAAACACAACAGTTCTTACAAACCTTCCCTGGGCGCTCCTTTCTTCCCCGGCTACCTCCTCCCACCCCAGCAGTGCAGGGGGCTAGGGTTGGGGGTTTCCCAGTCTGTTCACCACACACAGTCTGCCTCTCCTTACTCAGGTGAGGGAGCACGGTGAATAACAACTCCTCACACTCCTTCCCTGCTGCCACATAGAGTCTCTCTTGTTGGAGACAGTCCTCCATGAACTTCTCTGGCATGAGTCCTTCCTATGGGCTGTAGTTTTCTTCACTAACTGCACTGGTGTGGGTCCCTTCTGCAGGGTGCAGTTCTCCAGGAGCAGCCTGCTCCAGCATGGGCTTATCACGGAGTCACGGGCTCTTCAGGCATCTCCCTGCTCTGGCGTGGGGCCTGCCCTGGGCTACAGGCGGGTCTCTGCTCCCCCCTGATCCTCCATGGCTGCAGGGGCACAGCCTGCCCTCTTACCGTGGTCTGCACCACAGGCTGAGTGGGAATCTCCACTCCTCCCCCTCCTTCTCCACTGACCTGGGTGTCTGCAAAGTTGTTCCTCTCCTATCTTGTACTTTCTCTCTGGCTGCAATTTCTCTTTTGCCCAGTTTTCTTTCTTCCCAAACATGTTATCCCAGGGGCGCTACCACCATCGCTGATGGGCTCAGCCTTGGCCAGCAGCAGGTCCATCTTGGAGCCGGCTGGCATTGGCTCTGTCAGACGTGGGGGAAGCTTCTAGCAGCTCCTCACAGAAGCCACCCCTGTAGGCCCCTCCCTGCTAGTAAAACCTTGCCAGAAAAACCCAATACACCATCGCAATCACAGAATACACTTCCCATCAGTTTGATGTAAGCAAGGGTTTGAATGTTGACATAGTAAAACATGAATGGTGCCTATGCACTGTTAAAATCAGGTTTTGTTTAGCCCTAGTTCCTCCCCATGCTTCGTGGAGGGCAGAGGTTTCTTGCACAGTCTTGCACTGAGAAAAGACTAGACCTCTAACAGGAATATCTGTTAATTGGAAGATACTTAATCCAAAGTTGAAGAAGTATTTGCTTATTGAATTGAAAATATTCCCTCTCACATGTTTGAGGAAGTAAGTGGACAGTGTCCCATACAAAAGGATCCCAATTTTCCCCAACATTTCCTTTTTCTATTACTCACAAGTCACACATTTGTCAGCTGTATTACTGGTTGCACAAACTAATTGTCTTGTCTGACAGTGCTTTGGGTTATGGGGGTTTGTTGGGTTTTGGTTTTGTTTTTTAAACTACTGTTGTTTATTTATGCAGTTTAAAAACTGCATAAAAGATGCCTCACAATGAACATATTAGGAATTAATATAGGAATAATATGGAATATTATTAACAATATAGGAATATTAACAATTCTGCAGTAAGCAGAAACCTTTAATTCTGTGATTGCTTCTGAAAGGATGTATGTGTATTTCGGGCTGTGAGGATAGGGGTTTTTTTTGTTTCATGATGAATTGTTTGAGAACATTCCTTAATTATTTATTTTTAGTAGAGCAGTCTGAAGATTGACATTTCTGTAGGACTATGGTTCCATATCTCAGAATTACATTAAATAAGGATTTAGATTAAGGCATAACAGATCTTTCTGATCAGCATTAGAATCATAGAGTCATAAGACTGAAAAATGGTACCATAGTCCTACAGACCCTTCACTCTTTAGGCATCCCTAGCTAAGCCTTAACAAGTGAAGAAATTGTGCCACTTTGCTATGACATAAATATGCCCCGTGTTTTAAGTTGTGAAGTTTACATTGCTCTCTGGAAAAAAAATCCACTTTTTCTTATGGCCACCAACATTTCTGGGTTTTCCTTCTTTTCTTTCACAGACCCACAGTTTCATAGGCAATAGAAAGCAAAGTTCTGCCTATGTGCCTTAAGAATTTCTTGGGCAGTGAAATCTGCCTGCATTTGAGGGGTGGCTGATACTGCACTAACACCTGCCCTTGCCTCCACAGGAGTGACCTTTCCCCAAGCAGTCTTCAGTGGAGAGTTGCAGCTGCAGCCTTCAAAGAGATGCAACAGTAAGAATGAAAGGCCGTGGCTGGAGTTTTATATGGTTCATCTCACACATACTGGCGTGATGGTTGGTGTCCAGAACAAACACTGAGCTTGAAATGAGGATGGTAACCCCTACAGCCTTTGGCTAGGAGGAATGCATTGATGTGAGTTGTCAGTGCAAACACATCAAACCCTGACCTGTTCTGTCAGCGGCTGGCCAGCCAGAAGAACTTGCATGTTCCTCATGATCCCTTGGGGAACCGCTTTCGTTTCAGCCCTTTCCTGCCCGTTCCAAATACTGGTGCCAGGGTAACACCTTAAATGCTCAGAAGTTGCATACTGCCCAGAGTGTAAAGATGTAGCTTGAGCTGAGCCAGAAAGCTCCTCAGGGTGGCGACCCCACACCGTCTGTGCTCAGCAGGCTGAGGTGAGGCTTTCCAAAAATCAGTCAGGAATTAATGCAAGAGCATTCAGTCTCCACTTAGCAGTCCCTCAAAGTGAGATTGGATCACGACATCTGAGTCTCCAGGTAAAATGAAGAGCCCTGTTAATTTGACCTAGTCATGGATCAGGAGAAAATTCTTCCCAGAGAGGGTGGTGAGGCACTGGCACAGGTTGCCCAGAGAAGCTGTGGATGCCCCATCGCTGAAAGCGTTCAAGGCCAGGCTGGATGAGGCTTTGAGCCTAGTGGAAGGTGTCCAAAAGGACACCTTTTGGACTAGTGGAAGGTGTCCCTGCCCATGGCAGGGGGGTTGGAACTAGATGGTCTTTAAG